AGAATTTGAATTTCCAACTAAATCTGATTTTGAAACAGAATTCGGGTTGAAATTGAAAACAAAATTAGGCTAATTTGATAATACTTTTCTGTTAAAACCGATTTGAAAAATATCAGAATCTTTCTTTCCATTCTTCCCTTGAAGATGCTGATCAAAATAGCTCTGTGTTTCAAAAAAATTTACATCCATGGTAATAATCATTTTTTTTTTAAATTGGACCGAAACATTTGTAACCTTTCTATGTTAGAGAATATCCAAAAAATTCACATTTTTTAGCTCTCGGATCAAGTTTTCCTCAATGATGATCATGAATGGGGACAAAGGCAATGCAACCAAATATTTTCGTGAGGTTGAATAGCAACTTTTGAAAACATTGCAGGGCGTTTCAAATTGTAAAACTTTTATTGGCATACTCTTAATGAAAAAAGCTGTTGTTAGGATGGCTTCAACCCAACCCTAGTTGAAAAAATTAAATATATGTAACTTCAAAAAGGTGTTTGTTCTTTCGCTCAGCCATTCCATTTTGCTGAGGAGTTTCATTGCATGAACTTTAATGTACAATGCCATTTTTCTAAAAATACTTTCCCGAAATATGATTAAAATTTTCTTTCCCATTATCACTCTGAAAAAACTTGAATTTTGGTTTGAAATTGTGTTTGTACCATGCTGTGAAAATTTTTGGAAATTTTGTATGCTTCTTATTTTTCCTTCGTCAAATACACCCAAGAAACCCGTGTATGATCATCTATGAAAGTGATAAACCATTTTTTCTTTGAAAGTGTGGTGATCCTAGAAGGTCCACATACAACACTATGGATCATAGAAAATGGTTTAGATGCTTTGTAGGGCTATGAAGAGAAGGATGCACGATGATGCTTAGCCAATTCACAAATTTTACACTGAAACAAACATGAATTCTTATTCATGAATAACTTTGGAACCAAATATTTCAAATAATGGAAACTAGGATGTTCTAATCTAAAATATCATAACATAATTTGTTTTTATTGGCAAAAGAAATAGAATAGAAACAATTACTTTGAGTTTGTCCTTCCAAGATGGATCCATCTTCAAAGAAATAAAGTCCACCACTCAGTCTAGCACCACTAATTGTCCTCCCCGAGCTCAAATCTTGAAAATCAGAACTCTATGAAGAGAATTTAGCTGGACACTTCAGATCATGAATGATCTTATTGATTGACAAAAGATTGAATGACAATTTAGGAACATGAAGGACATCATATAGTGTGAGAGTGGATGAAATAACAATTTAACCCTGTCCAGCTATGGGTGAAAGAGACCGATATGTTATTTTTATTTTTTGATTCCCTGCACAAGGAGTGAAAGATGAGAACAATTTTAAAGAACCAGTGATGTGGTTAGTTGTGCCAAAATCAATGATCCATTGACCAGAGTTTGAATTGAAACTAACTAACGCAGCGTTGAGATAGTTACCTTTCTGGGCTAAGGAACAAGAAGGGGTCAGGTTGGAGGAATTTACATTGAATTGAGAATTTTGGAGAAGTTTGCATAGGCTGTCAGTTTGGTCCTTGGTGAATGGAAGCTTCTCTTGAAAAGACTCTTGTCTCTTTCCTTCATCATTCAGTTTATCAAAACTCGAAGAGGACTTTGGAGAAACTAATTTGGGTTGTTAATTTTGATAGGCTCCTAATATATTAGAAAGATATATGGTTCCTCACGTAAATTCTTTTTTTCTAATATTCGATTTATGAGTATATTGCATGTATTTCATGTATAATTGACGTGATTGAAGAAAGTGTTAATGATTCGATTGTTTTCACTAGGTTTTTATTTAACCCTAGAATTTATCATTTGTGATTCGTGTACTATTGTAGTGAAAATTTTTATGGGTGTGTTTTACAATCATTTATCATCATGTTGGTACGTAACGTCTCCATCATTTTTAATTGGAGTTTATTACGTTTTGAATTTGTATTAAATTGTTTTGAAGCCTTGTGCCTAGTTTCATACAAATACCGGGCCGCCATTATGTTCCAGTAATTTACAATTCTGTATTATTCTATTTATATTTTTTCTCAGAAAAGATATCTTAAGCTCTTATTAGGCTTTTGAATCACTTAAGGCGGAGTTTTTTTTTTCATTTTTCGAATTTGACCAAGAAAACTGTCCAGTAGAGGGCGTGGAGACGAACAGATAGTTGCAACAAGATAATAAGCGCAGAACGGTAGAGGGCGTGGGTCTGAGCGGCGCGGTGAATCTGAGTAGTGGGTCCGAGTCCGAGCAGGTCCTGGCGCGGCGATCCGAGCCATGGGTCTGGTAACGATACAGAATAAGATCTGTTCTTGTTTCAATTCTGATTTCAATTCAGAAATTGCAAGGTTTTTTTTTTTTTTTTTTTGGTCTGGTTTTGGTATTTTCTGGTTTTGGGATTTTGACTATTTGAGAGAACCGAAGGTTGGCTCTGATACCAACTTCAAAGGGATGATGAATCGTATTTTTCATTCATATCAATTATGTCAATATATAATCAATATATAGAGGAACATTTCCTACAATTAAGCTATATAATCACCTATAATCATTCACATTTATAAACATACAATCACACCCAATTATACCCACAATTAAGCTCGATCTTACAGCTAAGGCAATCAGACTAAGAAAGGAAAGAATCACAAACAATTCTCTACTAATCTCCTAAAATCTCAACCAAATACTCTTTTAATTTGTACAGTTATTTGACTAAAAAAATATTGATAAAAAAATAAAGGTTAAAAATCTAGACCATCTAAACAATATTTGTGTCCTTATCTCCTTTATCATATGCAAACTAATCAAATTCTATCGTACCATTATCCTGATCTCAACTCATTATTTCATTACCTTAATGGGAGGTAATTCAAAAAACTAGGAAGACTTATAGGTTTGTATAAAAAAAACAAAACAAAAAAAAAGTGAAGAAGACAGAAAAGGAAATTACGTTTTGTTAAGTAGTATGCGCCTAGTTATATACTGGACACTGAAATTGCCTCGTCATTTTGTCTACCCACCCACAGAGAGAAACAATAAAAAAAAAAAAAAAAAAAAAAAAAAAAAAAAAAAAAAAAAGGACCTTAAGTTTTCAAACTTTATTGTAAAAGTGTGGTAGTGTATGTAAATTCTACTTTAATTTATTTTTACTTTTCATTCCACACACTACTCATATGGTGACGCATAGAATTTTTTGAACCTTTCAGACCAATTTCAAATTAGCTTTAAAATATGCATACCCGATTTAAATATCGCGTAATATTAATTATTCTGCACATAAGGATTGTTTTTATCATGCCCAAAAACTACCTAATGAGAGGTTTTGAAAACTACAAACACGATATATAGAAGGGATGAAGTTTAACTTCTCCCCAATGAAGAAGAAAAAAAATAGAAAGAACGAAGTAACAATTCATGAGTAACACACATGAAAATCGATCGTGTAAATATATCGAAATAAATAAATAAAAAAAAAGTTGTTCAAATGGATTAGTGTGAGAAATGAATGCGCCTAATTATGTAGAAGTGTGAAATTGCCTCTTGCCATGCCTTATTATAGTCCCCACAATAACAATAACAACTCATGAAGGGTTATAAATGCGACCCAATTTCAGTAAGATATAAGGAAACATCATTTTCTTACGTAGCACATGTGCGCGCACCATGCTATCCCAATAGGTACTGCACTAGGGGCCTATGGATTTCTAACAAATATTGATTGCTGTTACGTAGCTTAATTAATGTGCAATTACTCTTCTACCATCACTCTTAAATTTACATTTTTTAAAAAAGAATATATTTTTATTTAATATGATAATAAATAAAATAAATTTTTTAATCTTACTCTTCCTACTATTTAATTAATTAATTGGAACTCTTTTAGCGAAAAAATAATACTTAATTTTTAAAATGACGGTATATTTTCTAACATAAGTCATAGTATATTTTAATTTTTTTTTGAAAACATCACATTTCAACAATTAATGACGGTATATTTTCTAACATAAGTCATAGTATATTTTAATTTTTTTTGAAAACATCACATTTCAACAATTTTTTTTTTGAGATCATAGATATTTTATATATTACATTGCTTAATTAGAATTCATTTTTATTAAGATTTAATCCTTTTAAGAATATGTATTAAGAGTCAGTAATTTCTTCTGATAGAAACCTTGACAAAAGGAAGTTTTTGTTAACAATTCATACTTCAAAACAAACGGATGCTAAAACATAAGCGATGTAGTCTATGTCACTCTTACAACCTGTGTGGTTACAGTTTGAAAAACTAAGAAACAAATCTAAGGTAGGTTTAGAGATGGGAGGCGATGCATGATGAATTAGAAGAAGGGAAGCTCGATTTTGAACAACATAAGCGAGAGAAACAGATAGGGGCGATAGTTAAAGCTGGTGATGAAAAAGAGAAGAGGTGACTTAAGCTAAAATGATGATTTATTATAAACAATCATCATTTGGTAGTGGAATTTTTTTTTTCTTTTTTTAGTTCATATGGTGCCTGCTAGGTTAATATAACTTACCAAAATAGGTTTGTTTTACTTAGAAATCCAATTTATCACCAATTTTGCCAGTAAGGATCGTCAACATGTTGCACAAGTTTGGTTCGACAATTTTCGAAGCGTTATATATGCGGTTTGAGTCATATTCTTTGAACAAACTTAGTGATAAAACATTGTTGGGTCCACCCGTCTCTCCTCTTGTTTCTGACATAGGATTCTCAATATTGTCTACGTTAGGTTGCCATAAAAAAAAAAAAATGACATCTCACGTTGTTAAGGCTTTATGGCATTATTCTTAATTATATGTACATGTTTCCGTTAATAGTTCTACTACACGATAGTAATGGATACGTATATATCGACCTTAACATCAACATTCACTTTTTTAATTTCATAAAAACTTTTTATTTATTTCTGGTCGTGCCTATATAAAGACCACTTGAGAGGATGCAAGGCAACGAAGAATTAAGAATGGAAACTCATCAAAGTCTTTCTCTCTTATTACTCTTTCTGTCCTATTTGTTGGCATGCAATGTTGCTCAACATCATGACATAAGTCGGAAGGATTTTCCACCTGACTTCATATTCGGAGCAGCATCATCTGCTTATCAGGTATATATATTGCATCGAATTGTAGTTGTTTTTTTTTTTTTTACTACTTTTATGATATGTGGAATTCCAATGTTTAATATATATGTGCATGCGCATGTGACAAAAGTATGAAGGAGCGACAGATGTGGATGGAAGAAAACCCAGTATATGGGATACCTTCACTAAGGATGATCCAGGTTTAATACAAATACTTTTTTTTTTATTTTTTATTTTTTTTACCTTACCATAACGTATTTGCGATTTTGTCTAACATTTCTTTACCTTCTCTTGAATTTAACAGAAAAAATAGCAGATCACAGCTCTGGAAAAATCGCAGATGAATTCTATTATAGATACAAGGTTTAAAATGCTTGACTTGCTATAACTATGTAATAGAAAAGTTATTGCCTCGGAATCACTTTTGTTTTTAAGAAGAAAAAAATGTACTAATTATACACACAATTGTGTCAGATATTTTTAACATACATACCTACACAGTACATTTTTATTACCTAAAATGTACTAATTAATATTATACACACAGTTTCTTTGGGATACATCAACCTACGCATGAGAAAAACAATAGTGAAATATGCTTTTTGTCTATGTGGGATTTGCAATTATTAACCCGATCTCTATGTAAATTTATAATTCAACATATACTTTTTTATTATTTTTGCCTAAAAATGCTTAAATTTGTCACAGAGTGACATCAAGCGACTGAAAGAAACGGGTTTCGACACCTTCAGATTCTCTATCTCTTGGTCTAGAGTACTACCAAGTACGTTTTACTTAGCATTGTATTAAAGTATTAAACTAATATATATATATATATATATATACACGTATATATGCATATTTATGCTTTCTTGATAAAATTTATCAAATTTTTCTCTCAAAATATAATGAAGCTTATTTTTTTATTTTAGATGGACGTAAAGGAGACGTAAATCACAAGGGAGTCCAATTTTACACAAGTCTCATAGAAACGCTTATACACGAGGGTTAATTTCATAACTTTTAAGCATTCAGCGTATTTTACTCATAACATGGTTTTGGGAATTCTTGTTCTGACTAGTTTGGTTTCCTTTGATAATTTGTTTTTATTTGAATTTTGTTTATTGATAAGTAGGCATCGAACCAATAGTGACTATATTCCACTGGGATTTGCCTCAAGCCCTAGAAGATGAATATGGTGGATTCTTGAGCCCGAAGTTTGTGTAAGCCACCATTTATGCATCTTTGGATCGATATTTATATTTTATGTATGGATGCAAGACAGTGCCTAAGAAATTATCAATATGCTAATTGTTTTATATTATTTTTTTTATTAATTTGTAGGGATGATTATCTCGATTATGCGGATTTTTGCTTCAAAACATTTGGCGATAAAGTGAAAAAGTGGATTACCTTTAATGAGCCAATTATGTTTACTACCAATGGGTATGAATTTGGTACTTTCGCACCTGGTCGATGTTCTCGTTATTATGGAAATTGCACTAGTGGGAACTCCGGATTTTTTGTTTGATTCGGCCCATTATTTTTTTCTTTCAAATTTTTTACATTTAATTTTTTTTGTGAAACTAATTTTTTAAGAAAATAATTATAAAAAATAAACTATAAAAATTTTCTAAAAAAATTTTGGATGTCTGTATTAAAAGAAAAACATGTTGAATAAACACGCACTCAACCCGTACTTATTTCAACTTGTTTTTTTCCTGAAAAATTCAGCTGCAAAAAAGAAGGATGGAGAGCAAAAACTAACACAATGTTCCTTTTTGGATATCAGAATTTCAGTAATTGTAATTTTAATTAGAGTTAGTGAGAGGATGTATTAGAGACTAAGCAATAAATTAAAGAAACTATAAATTCGATGCTAAAACGACGGATGGAGCTACCTTTAGTTCAGGAGGTTTTAAGCTTGATATTAGCAGTGATATCAATATTTTAGCTAGGTGGATGTGGAGAAGGCTTTCAACTTAAGGGCGTATTTATCAAACCGTAAAAAAATGTAATGAGAAAGATAATGAGATTGAAAAGAAAAGTAAAGTAATAGGATTAAGGGTGATTCATTTCTTTTTATGTGTTTACTTGACTATTCAAATCGTGTGATGAGAAATAACTACATTTCTTTTCTTATGTTTATTAAAATTAGAAGTAATAATGTTATTAATATAATCACTAAAATGTCCTTTTATATTATTTAAATAATCATTGAATGTATAGTAATTCATTAAGGGAAGATAAGTAAATTTAACATTCATTCCCTTTTAAAAATGGTAATCACTCCTTACTTTTTTTTTTTCCTTTGATGTAAAGTAAACATGCCATAAGCGTAATTTTCCCTTCGCTATCTAGTAGCAGTAGTAGTTTTCTTCTTTTTTTTTTTTTTTTTTTTTGGGGGGGGAGTTACTGAGTTTTTAGCTTAAATTCCAAGGCAACATCAAGAAAATTATTCAAATTCATAGTTCTCATTCTATGTGTGTTAATTTTAACTGTTTTACGATTGATGATGTAGGTTAATGGAACGTGGATGTTCATTTATCCAAAGGGGATTGAAGAACTGTTGTTTCACTTAAAAGAAAATTACAACAATCCCATAATTTACATCACAGAGAATGGTAAATTATACTTAATATTTTTCGATGGTTATGGGTTTTTCGTTTTATTCCTTTTAATTTTTAATTGAAATTACAAAATAAAAGAAATAATTTATCTAGTACTAACGTATCTGAATTTAATTGAATTAATTGTACTTGATACATAGTTCTTGACCAAAACATTGATAGTAGATATGGTTTAATTGTTATTACAGGACTTCCTGATCCCCTCAATAGTACTTCTCTCAACGATACTGCAAGAATAGATTTCTATCGTCGTCATCTACGACGTGTCTCACGGGCTATTAAGTAAGCGCCAATATTTGCACTCTTCATTTTCTTTAGTAATTGTTTAGACAAGCTAATAATGGCCTTTGGATAAACAAGCATATTTCGACCAGCTTAGTTAATTTTTGTCATCATTGCACATCCTAAATATTTAGTATTAGAACTATTAATTTTTGTCATCATTGGCTACATAAGGAGAAAGGAGATAAATATCGGTTAATGTGCACGGTTTACATTGTTACTCTTTATTCTTAACTAAAATCTGAACTATATTAGTTAAATGGTATTAATCAAGAGTAACGTGTAAGAATTTAGAACCATGTGTTTTAAGTTAGAAGTTTTGCAAGGTACTAACGCCCAAGGTTTTTGCAGGGCTGGAGTCAACGTGAAGGGATTCTATATTTGGACACTTCTCGATGACTTTGAGTGGAATTCCGGTTACACTTATAAATTTGGCATCTACCAAATTGAACGTGAAAATAACTTGACAAGAATCCCCAAAGAATCTGTTCGTTGGTTTAGTCAATTCCTCAAACCCATTCCCAGACTCGAGAATCATAAAGTGCAAAATTCTTCAATGCTCTCTACAGCCTAATTAAATCAAGAAATACGAATAATCTGAACAATATATGTATGTATTTTAAATAAAGGCTGAGTGTGGAGAAAAAAAAGTATTTGTATGTTTAAAAATCTACTTTGAGTTTCAGAGAATAATATTATCTATTATGTTGTGTTGATCATTTGTGGGTTTATGTATTTTAAATAAGTTCTTTTTCTTTTTTTAGTTCTTAGACCTTAAAATGGTGCCTTCTAGATTAATATAACTTACCATAATAGTTTTGTTTTACTTGGAAATCCAATTTTTCAAATAAGGAAATAGGACAGTTCAACTACGTTATAATTGAAAGAGTATTTTCACTGGTGTCTTATGGGTCATATTCAGTTTAATCTTCGAATTTTAAAAACTCTCACTTTAATTCTTAAATTGTATGTTAGTCACCTTAACTCAATCTATTAGAATTTTTGTTAAAAACATAATAAAAGAAGAAGGCAATGCGATCACAATTTAACTGCATATCTTTCTTGGTTTGGTTTTAATATTTCAACAAAAGGGTATTAATTCAAAAATTCAAGTGGTAAAATGAGAGTTTTAAAATATGAGAGAAAACTGAAAATGATCGAGAAAGCAATTGTGAGATTAACCCATAATTGAATTTCAAGCCTGAAAAGAACAATTTATTACCAATTTTGCCAGTAAGGATCGTCAACGTGTTCCACCCATATGACAAGTTTGGTTCGACAATTTTCGAAGCGTTATATATGCGGTTTGAGTCTTTGAACAAGCTTAGTGATAAAACATTGTTGGGTTCACCGGTCTCTCCTCTTGTTTCTGACATAGGATTCTCAATATTGTCTACGTTCCTGTGTTGGCATAAGAATTGCGTAGAAAAAAAAAAGACAACTCACATTGTTAACGCTTTATGGCATTATTCTTAATTATATGTATATGTTCTACTATATGTGAGTAATGAATAAGTATAGTATTGATCTTAACATAACCATTCACTTTTTAATTTTATTAAAACGTTTTGTCTTTGATGATAGAATGTCAGAGAAGAACAAAATGTCATGTGCGGTTTGTCTTTCAGATCTTAACATAATTATTTACATTTTGTTGTGAGGTTTGTCTTCCAGATCAACATGTTTTCTTAGAAAATTCTTTAACTTTTTCTTTGCTCTCTCTCAGATGATGGGATGTTAGAAAAGAATAGAATGTCATGTGTTATCTAGGGACCATCACATGTATATATAGATAACTATCTTGTTATCTTTTGGTATTTCTATTGTAGCTTATCATAAAAATAGAAATTACCCTTAAGTCTTTACAAATTAAAAGCCCACTTCCTATTAGATAAATTAAAGCCCTATTATACAAACCTTAGTAAATCACTTTTAAACGGGCTTAACATTATATGACAGTCTGCTATACATAATTATTCACATATAAGCCCAATGTTGGATATAAGGATCCAACAATCTCCCACTTAGACAATATCTGTAGCCTTATAATTATGCATTGCAAAAATAATTGTACGAGGTCAACTTTCCTATCATTACTGAAATGTATCTATAACCAATCCGGTCCATCAATCATACCAACATACGATCAAAGCAGCCTTCGTTACATATGTCGTAACTGGACCCACCAATGGTCACATGTGCCGAAACAACTGAATGACATGGATCATGATGTGAATGTGTAGCATGTAAATTTCATGCAATGTGATCTTAACATGCCTACTTCTAACTAGTCCACCCTTAAACCTTAATGAGATCAAACCATACCAAAAATTGAATTTACTGAGTATGCTATTGTATGGTGGGACCAAGTATGCACTAATATGAGGCGAAACGGAGAACGTCCTATTGAAACTTGGGATGAGATGAAAAGGGTTATGAGGCGATGATTTGTACCAAGTCACTTCTACTGAGATTTATACCTCAAGCTGCAAGGTCTCCATCAAGGTAACCGGAGCGTTGATGAGTATTTTAAAGAGATGGATACAGTGATGATTGAGTTAAGATGGAGCAGGATCGAGAGGCGATAATGGCCAGATAGCGAGGATGAGATGAAAAGTGTAAATAAACCAAAAAGTTATTTCTACAGTAAATAACCTCAAAATATCCATAAATTGAAATAACTGAAAAAGTGTCTATATTATAAAAGCATATAAAATTACAAACTCCCACTAAACTAAGTATCCTCAAAGGACATGACACCTATACGAGCAGTGTGCTCATGAAACACTTTGGGTGGCAATCCCTTAGTAAGCGGATCTGTAACCATGGAGTTTGTACCGATGTAGTCTTTAGACAACTGTCCACTCTGAACTCTTTCTTTAACAACTAGGAACTTCATGTCTATATGCTTCGACTTTGACAAGCTCCTATTGGTTTTGGAATACAAAACTGCTAACTTATTGTTACAAAATCACTTAGTGGTCTTTCAATACCATCCACTATGCGCAGCCCCGTGACAAAACTCTGCAGCCATATTCCATGATTGGATGCCTCATAACATGCTATGAACTCCGCTGCCATGGTAGAAGATGCTAAAAGAGACTATTTAACACTCTTCCAGGAGACAGCACTTCCAGCTAGCAGATAAATATAGCACGACATAGATTTCATACTATCTTGGCATCCAGCAAAATCGGAGTCTGTATACCCAATAATCTCAAGCCGATCTGACCTCCGACAGGTGAGCATGAAATCTTTTGTTCTTTGTAAGTACTGCAAAACCCATTTGGCTGCTTTCCAATGGTCTACTCCTGAATTACTTAAATGTCCACCCAACATCCCAGTAACATGTGTAATATCTAGACGTGTACAAACCTGAGCATACAATAAACTTCCTACGCCTGATGCATAAGGAATCTTCTGCATTTCCTTTTCCTCAAAATCATTCTTAGGGCACTGATAGAGACTAAAGTTATCTCCCTTTGCTATAGGGGTATCACCTGGTTTGCATTCCTACATGCCGTATCTCTTGAAAACCTTTTGGATATAACTCTTTTATGATAATCCAATAATACCCCGAGAGTGATCCCGGTGTATCTTTATACCTAATACAAAATAGGCGTCACTAAGATCTTTCATCTCAAAATTCTTAGTAAGAAATCTCTAGGTTTTGTACAGTAAGCCTATTATCGTTGCTAGCAAGCAAAATGTCATCGGCATATAAAAGCAAAACAAATATACTTGCTCCCATAGAACTATGATATATGCAATCATGGACCAAATTCATCTCAAAACTGAACGAGATGATCACGTGATGAAACTTGAAAAACCATTGTCGATATGCTTGCTTGAGACCATAGATGGATTTCTTAAGTTTGTAAACCATATTCTTTGGGTCTCTAGACATAAAGATTTCTGGTTGCACCATATAGATTGTCTCACCAATATTATCATTGAGAAGCGTTGTCTTTACATCTACCTGATGTAAGTCAAGGTTGAAATGCGCCACTCATGCCATTATATTCTTAACAAAGTCTTTTGAGGAAACCAAAGAGAAAGTCTCTTTATAGTCGATGCCTTCTTTCTGTGTAAAGCCCTTAACAACAAGACGAGCCTTGTACCTTTCCACATTGCATTTCATATCTGCATTTGCAATCAATGCGTTTCGCACCTTCTGGCAATGGGATAAAATCCTACACATCATTGTCCTTCACGGACTTAATCTCCTTATTCATAGCATCAATCCACTTTTGAGAGTTAGAACTTTCCAGGGCTTGACGAAAGTTAATCGGATCATCTTCCATCACTCCAATATTAATCTCATGTTCTCAGACAAATACAATGTAGTCATCTAGCACAGCACTTCTCTTTTCTCTAGTGGATCTTCTTAATGGCATAGATTCTTGAGGTAGTAGAGTTTGTTCTTCTGGAACAATTTCTTTAATGGGAGGTTCTCTGATAATATCTTGATCTGTTGCGTCTCGAACAAGGTCAGGAATGGAATCCTAATCATTGCCAATAGCACCTATGGGAATATCAACATATTCCCCTTCAAAAACAAAGTCTCTAACTGTATCTCCCCCCGCAAACTTGACATCCTCGAAGAATCGGGCATTTATGGGATCATAAAACTTGTACTCCATGAATCTTTCAGATTATCCAATAAAATAGCAACTCACCATTCTTAAGTCCAGTTTCTTTTCATTAGGTCTATAAGGTCTTGCCTTAGTTGGACATCCCTAAATGTGCAAGTGCTCGAAACTAGGCTTCTTGCCCATCCAATGTTCATAAGGGATTATGGAAGTCACTTTAATTCGAACCACATTAAAGATATATGTTGTAGTCTTAAGCGCTTCTCCCAAGAGTGATTCTGGTAAGGTAGAATGACAAATCATACTCCTCAACATATCTTTACATGTCCTGTTTCGTCTTTCAACAATACCATTCATAGCGGGCGAAACCGGCATAGTGTACTGTGGGACGATACCTCATTCCTCTAGGAACTTAGCAAATAGTAATGGACATTGTTCACTTGAACCATCATATCTACCATAATACTCACCACCACAGTCAGATCTGACGGTTTTAATATTTTTGCTGAGTTAGTTCTCAACTTCAGCCTTATAATTTTGAACACATCCAACGATTGTGACATTTCATGAATTAGATATATATATATATAACCATATCTAGAATAATTGCCTATAAACCTTATAAAATATAGTTGATCATTCCAAGCAACCATAGGGAATGGCCCACAAATGTCCGTAAGTATAAGTTATAAGACGTCCAAAGTCATGTTGGCTTCAAATCTCCATTTATTGGTTTGTTTCCCCTCTATACAACACAAACATCAAAATCTATGAAGTCTAAGGGGTCTAGAATTTCATCTTACACAAGTCTCTCTATTCTCCATCTAAATATATGACCTAATCTCTTGTGCCATAACCCAGCTGAAATCTCACTTGTTAATCTTGTGTAGTTGATTGCAAGGATTCATTGAATGAAGCAATTGTATCAATCATATAATGATTATAATAACCTAACAAAGAACCGAAACCAATAAATTTTGAATAATGAAACAAACTAAATTTTTCATTCCCAAATGAATAAGAATAACAAGATTTTTCCAAAGCAAAAATAAAAATCAAATTTCATCTTTTACAATAAATATCTCAGTAAGAATCAAATAAAATCGAGTCTTTAACAGTAATCTAAATTTTCCTATCGCCTCAACTTGAATCGTCTTGCCATCCCCCACAATGATTTATCTTTCACCATTACTTGGCTTTCGACAACTCAAGCAACCCTACATAGACACACTGTTGTGAGTTGTTATACCAGAATATATACTCGAACTATATTTAATTTCACAACTGGAGTAAAAGTCTCTGAGAAATCAACACCATACGTCTGTAGTGAATCTTTTAATTAGTAACCAATCGCGCCTTGTAACTCTGTATTAAACCATCTCAATTGCATTTCACATTAAAGATACATTTGCAGCCCACTGTGGACTTTCCTTCTGACAAACTTACAGCCCACTATGGACTTTCCTTCAGACAAACTCACTACCTTCTATGTCCCATTTTTCTCAAGGACTCAAATCTCATCAAGAATAGCTTCCTTCCATTTAGGAACCTTTGACGCCTCCTGCACATTCTTTGGAATTTCTACCCGAGGCTACAAAATTTTCATAGGCTACAAAATTGGACATAAGATGCTTAGTACAAGATCTAATAGCTTGCCGATAAGCAATTGGAAGGTCTAAGTTTTCAAGAGACTCATATTGTGAATTAGGACAAAAAAAACCTAGACTTATATGATTATTTACCTGAAGGATTGACAGGATTTTGTTTTGTTTCAAGTTGGACTCTTGGCTATGTTGTGCGGTGAAAACTCTCTTCCTTTAAAGATGATTCCTTCTTGAAAAAATACGGAACTCAGGTTTGGTGTTAATTGGCCTCGCACACATCTATGTACTTATTTCAACTTGTTGTGGCATTACAGAAGTATCTGTATTATTTTCACTATTCGACTTATGTGACCTCAAGTACGCACTTAAATAGAATCGTTTTTTGGGATTCATTTTAAAAAACCATATCAGTTGTTTTGAATTCAACATTTGAAGCAAGAATCTTATCTGGTAAAATCGAGATATCTGCGATTCTGGTATCCACATTTTTTAGAATTTGAATTTCCAACGAAATCTGATTTTGAAACAGAATTCGGGTTGGAATTGAAAATAGAATCTGAGTTGAAATTGAAAACAAAATTAGGCTAATTTGATATTACTTTTCTGTTAAAATCGATTTGAAAAATATCAAAATCTTTCTTTCCATTCTTCCCTTAAAGATACTAATCAAAATAACTCTGTGTTTCAAAAAAATTTACATCCATGGTAACAATCATTTTTTTTTAAATTGGACCAAAACATTAGTAACTTTTCTATATTGGAGAATATCCAATAAATTCACATTTTTTAGCTCTCGGATCAAGTTTTCCTCAATGATGATCATGAATGCGGACAAAGGCTATGTAACCAAATATTTTCAAATGGATATTTGTTGAAATTCGTGAGGTTGAATAGCAACTTTTGAAAACATTGCAGGGCGTTTCAACTCGTAAAACTTTTGTTGGCATACGGTTAATGAAAAAAAGCTGTTGTAAGGATGGCTTCAGCCCAACCCTAGTTGAAAAAATTAAATATCTGCAACTTCAAGAAGGTGTTTGTTCTTCCGCTCAACCATTCCATTTTGCTGAGGAGTGTCATTGCTTGAACTTTAATGTACAGTGCCATTTTTCACAAAATACTTTCCTGAAATATGATTAAAATTTTCTTTCCCATTATCACTCTGAAAAAACTTGAATTTTCGTTTGAAATTGTGTTTGTGCCATACTGTAAAAATTTTTGAAAATTTTTTATGCTTCTTATTTTTCCTTCATCAAATACACCCAAGAAACCCGTGTATGATCATCTATGAAAGTGATAAACCATTTTTTTTTTTGAAATTGTGGTGATCCTAGGGGGTCCACATACAACACTATGGATCATAGAAAATGGTTTAGGTGCTTTGTAGGGCTATGAAGGGAAGGATGCACGATGATGCTTAGCAAATTCACAAATTTCACACTGAAACAAAGATGAATTCTTATTCATGAATAACTTTGGAATCAAATATTTCAAATAATAGAAACTAGGATGTCCTAATCTAAAATACCATAACATAATTTGTTTTTATTGACAACATAAATAGAATAGAAACAATTACTTTGAGTTTGTCCTTCCAAGATGGATCCATCTTCAAAGAAATAAAGTCCACCACTCAGTCTAGCACCACCAATCGTCCTCCCCGAGCTCAAATCTTGAAAATCACAATGCTATGAAGAGAATTTAGGTGGACACTTCAGATCTGATTGATTGACAAAAGATTGAATGACAATTTAGGAACATGAAGGACATCATATAGTGTGAGAGTGAATGAAATAACAATTTAACCCTGTCCAGCTATGGGTGAAAGAGACTGATATGTTATTTTTATTTTTTGATTCCCTGCACAAGGAGTGAAAGATGAGAGCAATTTTAAAGAACCAGTGATGTGGTTAGTTGTGCCAAAATCAATGATCCATTGACCAGAGTTTGAATTGAAACATAATTTTTATAGGCTCCTAATATATTAGAAAGAAATATGGTTCCTCACGTGAATTCTTTTTTCTAATATTCGATTGATGAGTTTATTGCATGTATTTCATGTATAATTGACGTGATTGAAGAGAGTGTTAATGATTCGATTGTTTTCACTAGGTTTTTATTTAACCCTAGAATTTATAATTTGTGATTCGTGTACTATTGTAGTGAAAATTTTTATGGGTGTGTTTTACAATCATTTATCATCATGTTGGTACGTAACGTCTCCATCATTTTTAATTGGAGTTTATTAGGTTTTGAATTTGTATTAAATTGTTTTGAAGCCTTGTGCCTAGTTTCATACAAATACCGGGCGGCCATTATGTTCCAGTAATTTACAATTATGTATTATTCTATTTATATTTTTTCTCTGAAAAGATATCTTAAGCTTTTTTTTCCGAACTTAACTGTAAAAGTACTGTCATAGTGTATGTAAATATGTACTTTAATTTATTTTTATTTTTAATTAAACACACTATTCGTATTGTGTTGTGTACGCATAGAATCTTATAAACCTTTCAGAGCAATTTCAAGCTAACCTTAAAATATGTATAGCTTGTCCAAATATTGTGTAATATTAATTATTTCGCCTGTAAGGATTGTTGTGATCATGATCAAAAACATAATAATTGGCTCTTCCTTAATGAGAGGTTTCGAAAACTATGAACACCATGTATATATAGAAAGGGATAAAGTTTAAGTTCTCCCATAAAAACTAAAAAACAAAACAGAAAGAAAACTATGATCTATACATGATTTCCTATATTCTTTCACAATTTCTACGTTATATATACATGAACTATATATATAAATATGTATATATGTATACCTATGAAAAAAATTAAATCAACTTTTGTCTATGAGGGATTCGCAAATATACCCCGACGATCTATATTATTATAATTCAAGATGCTTTTTTGTTATTTTTTGCTAGTCTCACAATGCTTAAATTTGTTTCAGAGTGGCATCCGCCGACTGAAAGAAACGGGTTTCGACTCCTTTAGATTCTCTATCTCTTGGTTTGGCATATTGCCGAGTAAGTTTATTTATATAGTAATATCTAATATATATTTATGCTTCCCTGAGTAAGTACCAAGTTTTTCTCTCAAAATAATGAAGCTTAATTTTGATTTTAGATGGAAGTGGACGAGCGACTCCCGATGTTGTCAAAGTTTACAAAAAGCTCAAAGAAACGCTCATAAAATGGTTAATTTTATAACTTCTAATTTATCCTTTAAGTATTCAACGTATTTGACTCGGGTTTGATACTGCTCATTCTTAATAAAAGTTTGATTTTCCTTTGATAATTTATTTTTATAAGTAGGCATCGAACCAATAGTGATTTTATTTTACTAGAATCTGCCTCGAGCCCTAGAAGATGAATATGGTGGATTTTTGAGCCCGAAATTTGGGTAAGACATCATATATACATATATATATATAGCAGAATATATGTACAGACCAAAGGATTACATAAGAAATTACGTTATGCTAATTATATAATAAATTTTTATTATTTTATAGGGATGATTATCAAAGATACGTATATTTTTGCTTTGATACGTTCGGCGATAAAGTGAAAAAGTGTACTTTACTACCAATTATTTTTACTACCAAAGCGTATGAATTGGATCGATGTTCTCATTACGATAGAAACTGCACTAGTGGGAACTCAGCAACAGAACCTTATATCGTAGTTCACCACTTAATTCTCGCTCATGCGAAAGCAATAGACATATATAAAAGGAATTCCAGGTGAGTAGTATATGTTATGTATATATGTATATACATGTGTGCCATATAATTAAAACAAAATGTATTCGTTTGAAAAAGATTAATATTGTTCAAAGAAAAGATTATCATATATCAGTAAATAATAACACGCGTATTTGTATATATAATATTAGAAAATAACAATTTAATATTTGTCTTGTATATCCCTTTCAGGAGAGTGAAGAGGAAATCATTGGAATAATAATACAATCTTTATGGGTCGTGCCAAAATTTCGTACTCCTAAATCTTCACGCTTGGATGGGGAGATTCGTCTAACATATATGTGTTACTTATTATATGTTGACGCCAGAATTTCTCACACACCGATGGCCCACCGGCGAAGTATTGTCCCCACTTAGGCCCGCCGAGACGGGTGGGGTTTTGTCCCTTCGTAAAAGGTGCCTCGCTGGTAGGAGGGGTTGGCACTCTGGTACATATACCTCTCCAGACCCCGTCTCCAACCGATGTGGGACTCTTGGCATAGAACAGTGCCCCCCAAGACGGGGGGACTGGAGAGGCAGGCCGTGGCCAAACGTCCCCAGTGGAGTCGCCAACTGGTGACGCCAGAATTTCTCACACACTGATGGCCCACCGGCGAAGTATTGTCCCCACTTAGGCCCGCCGAGACGGGTGGGGTTTTGTCCCTTCGTAAAAGGTGCCTCGCTGGTAGGAGGGGTTGGCACTCTGGTACATATACCTCTCCAGACCCCCGTCTCCAACCGATGTGGGACTCTGACCCCCCTTCGGTGGTAGAGATCTCATGGACCTCTTCGTCTTCCGGTGTCAGCTTTGTGCATAGGGATATCGAGGACGTCGAGGGAAGTTTTGAGCTGGGCGACAGAAGGAGAATCCTCTCGACTAGGTGAACTTTGGGCCATTGTTCTAGTAATAACAAGGACAAAAAGCGTTAAAACCCTAACGTCGAGAGGAATAAATGGCGACTACTCTAAGCGACGACTGGTTAAACGTCGACCATTCATACAAGAATGGTAACAACGAGTTTTCATAGGAACCGCGGGTTCCCCAGAACCCAGAAACCGAAGACAAAACAGACAAAAATGCGCGTATATAAAAGCCAGGTCATCCAGTACGACAGAACACAATAAAGTAAGTCTCTTTAACTAATATATATTCTCGTTTTCTGCATATATGTTTACATATTCCTGGTACACAACGGGAGAAACCCCGTGAGTACGCAAAGAGAGAAAGGGTCTAGAAACTTACCGGTGAAGAAGTATATCCGGGACGGTTTCGTAGTACACCACGGAGGACGGGAAGGACGAAGGCAGAAGTTCAGCAAGCAGGGTTCCGGCAAAAGTACGGATGTCCCAGCAAAGCGGCAGCAAAAAGTTTTTTTTTTTTTTTGAAGTTTCGAAGAAGGAAAAAATGACCCTCGGGTTCATGGGGAGTATTTAAAGAGTCGGGAATGAAGACCCCCAACCGTCGGATGAAAACCCCAAAAGACCAACGGCCAGGGATCACTCTCCGAATCTGACGGTAAGGGGAAGGGCGGGAAATCGAAAAGACACGGATCCGACGGCCTATATTCGTTTTCTTAAAACACGGATACTCATCATTATGCCAAACCAATCGACGCGACGGTTACACACCCGAAGCACCCAGGCCATCATTGCGGACGAAGGTTCGGGACCGATTTCCCACACCCGAAGCACGGAAAGGACAAACCGAACCTAGAGCTCGAGGCCGCCTAAGAAAGGAGCCCTCGACCTGGGGGGTGGCTGTTGTGTGGGAAAATATAATGGACACTTGGACCAACGGCACCACGACACGTGGCTATACTTGCTTTCCGCCGAGCACTCAACCCTCGACGCTTCGTTTCCCTCAAGATCAGCTGTAGAGCCCGAAGATGAAGTCCATGATTAGGGCGACGACCCCATGAGGCGTCGACGGTTGACTCCGCATGGGTTGACACGACAAGATCCCTCGACTGCAGAAAAGATCGCTAGAGAGGACGAGAAAGGTTAAACAGCGCTGACAACGAGGGGAACGTCCCTTCAAGACACGACGGGTTACGTGCAAAAGTAAGAGAAGTCTGACAGCATTAATTACAAGTTTACAAACTGCCCCCCCAGGGGACAGAAAAGCATTACGGAGAGTCACAGAGCCGTAATAGAAGACTAAATGGTTGAGTGAACAGTACTAATTAGTGGGCTATGTCTGGGCCTAGAGAGGGAGAGCACTTGAGTGTTCCTACCTACGAAGGAAACCCACCCAGTGAAGGAAGCTGGAGTATAAAAGAAGAAGGACCCCCAATAGGGAAGAGGTCTAGAGATCCCAGAGGAGAAAGAACAAGAGAGAGAGATAGCATTTATTGTAAATTATAATCTCCACAAAAGAAATACAATATACACAGTGGATGTAGCTCTAATTTTATAGAGTGAACCACTATAAAATTCTTCTTGTTCATTTACATACAGTTCATTCAAACACAAAAATACTTAAATCAAACTAGAATCTACACTTTCAATAAACCCACAAGCCGATAATCCAAAGGGTAACCCCAAGGTAATCCGGTGGGTTTATTATTGACGAAATCCAACCGTCAACATTATAGATCTTCCAAAAATTAATTTGTTCTAGTAATGATGTCTAAATAGTTCATTTTTCTAATGATTTCCTGAGGTTCAACATTAAATTATTACAAAATTAAAAAAGTCACATACTGAAGTGATTATTGCTGATTGATTATTGTATGTATATGCCATGACACATTCATGGTTTTTCACGCACTTACGTTGGGAGACTACTCGGAAATCATGAGATCTTTGGTTGGGTGCCGACTGCCTAAATTTACCGAAGACGAATTAAAACTGATAAAAGGGTCATATGATTTCTTGGGTCTAAATTATTATACAGCAAGATATGCGGAGGATTTAAATGTCTCGTGCGTTATAAATCAAGGTCTCAATGGTGATAGTCGTGTTAATCTAACAGGTAATTAAGTCCAATATTATCATATAGTTTATTATCTCTAGACCTATTAAATTTGGATTCATTAGTAATCAATTAATCTTTTTAATGTTCACCTAATGTAATGATACAGCTTCGAAAGATGGTGTACCTATTGGACAACCGGTACTTTCTTTCTTTCCATTTATCTTTTCATTTTTTGTGTATGATCGAGTTATTGTTGGCTTAATTTGTATAAAGAACATCAAGAAAATTTATTCAAATTCATGATTCTCATTGTAAGTGTACAAAATTCTAACTTACAATTTATGATGTAGATTGATGGAACATGGATGTTCGTTTATCCACAAGGAATTTAGGAATTGGTGTTGTACATTAAAGAAAATTACAACAATCCTACTATTTACATCACCGAGAATGGTAAATTATAATTAATTCTTCAATTTTGTTTTTTTTTTGTTTTTTTTTTTTTGTTCTTTTTTTTAAATCATAAAATGATAAAATAGAAGGACTAATTTATCTGAGTTTATTTAAAATAATTGATATATTGTTCTTTAGCAAAATTGATTATAAATATGGTTTTATTGTTATTTCATGTGACGACCTTTATTTTTTTATCATTATTACTACGTTCATACTTAGCTCACTTCCTAACTTCTACTACTTTAGAATTACAAACTTGTAAAATTTAGGCTACTTTTTTTTTTCTTCAATAGTGAAATAAATTCTAATATACGTCACCAAGTTAAAACTTCGATTAATATTTCAAATTAAAACTTGAATATTAATGATATTTTTTCGAAACATTTTCAACTTTCGAACATTGAATAACCTGCAGATAAAATTTTTTACGTACATCATCATACTTACTTTTTGCATTCCATTGCCGTTCACATGTCATTAACCTGATAGCACTTTAGGTACATCATCATACTTTATGACTCGAGGTTGCTAAGCATAGCCTCACAGTCTCATATACATTACTTTCATTATATGTCTTACATATTCTTACATTCAAAAGTACTATTTACTTTATATGCATTGCAACATTTTCAAACCTGTGGTGCATCCATCGCCCACTTACCCACATTCCACTGCTTCATCCTTTTATGCACTCCCAGCAAACAGATGTCAGGGAGCATGTGTCTTACCCAAGCTTCCTACAACATGAACAAACGGGATGAGCTTTTGCTAGCAAGTAACAATAGTTAACAACAAATACAAATAGCAATGCATACCCATATATGCATTCATGTCATACATCGTAACATATTTCGTAAACATTAAGAGCATTTATCGTTTTATACTTTCTTTCTTTTCATTTATCATGTTTTGCTTTCTTTTCTTTCATTTCATTCTTCTTTACAACTTTTGTTGTTGTGTCATTCATTTCTTATATCTTTTACTTTTTATGGGCCCCGTACCTGTTGTACCGTTGCACACATATATACCCAATGCGGAGTGGGAGAGCTACCTAAAAACCAACTCACCTATGGTTTTATCCATAATAACCTCCCATACGAAGGCCGGTACAAACAGTTTTATCAACTTCTTTTCGTTTGTCATCTTTACTTATTCATCATCTTATTGTCATTATTTCACATTATGACATTAAATTTTAATCTTTCATCTTACTGTCATTTTCTTCTCTTATTATGCCAGTAATTTTATTTTTATCATCTTACTATCATGTTTTCTTATTATGACAGTAATTTTAGTCATATTAGTACATCTTTAAGCCTTCCTACCAATTTTCTATGAAATTGGACTTTATTCAAATGTTTGACTTTTGTTGACTTTGACTTTGACTTTATATTTTTCGCATATTAAAATTCTATAATAATCCAAGTCCATAAGCACAACCAAAGAAACATATATGATTTAGGATGCATCTTTCATATAGTAACATACAATGAATTCGTAATATGCACAATTTTGTGCAACACAATGAAATAGGTTTGTTCGTGATATAGACATAGAAAAACTGATGTACTTAAAGAAGTTCTGCTAAAGTTGTGATTTTCTAGTCACCAGCAACTTTACTGCTTCGATCACCTACCAATCCTATCATATATAAATTCCCGATCGTTAGATTTATAATCTAAGACCAGTTATAGAAATAAAATTTGACTCGAATTTATGGTCCTGTAAATGTTATTTTCTTAAAGTGCGTATTTTGTGTCTAAAATTCTTGAAGAGATCAATGATTCCATGTCAGTATCCAGACCAAAACACTCCTATATCACCAATGTGCACCAAACTTATGCACA